CGTTCGCTCGTCAGCCACTCGCCTTCGCGGTCGCCCTGGCGCCCGGGGCGTCCGCCGCCGCTTTGCAATGCTAACGCGCGCGCTTACACGCTCACCCGCGCTCGCCCGCCCTCGCCCGCCGCCACGCCCCCTCAGGAGGCGCACCCAGGATTATCCCGCGGAGGGGTGCAGCCGACTTGGTGTGTTTTTATAAAGATTTTTTAAAATTATTCTGGACGTAATATTTGTTTTTATTTGCTGACTTGTAGTTATCGTAATATTTATTACGTTAGCAATTATTACACTGAATGACTTTCGTTTGTTCAGAAAATTAGCAAATACGTAGGTATAATTGGCTTCGAGGGTGGGGGGCTGATGCTCCATGAGGGAACTCATCCTCTTTAGGAGTTCTATTGGTTTCATCTTTCACTCACCAATTCCTTCCCCATCTCACTACCACAATCTGCCTCGGTGCTCTCTTGTTAGCTCACAGTCTGTCCTGTGTCGATCGTTGTTTCTATCCTGTTCCATCATTCATCAGCCGATTGCCCAGCATCCTCAAGCAGAATGCAATGTTATTCCAACAGGTAGCCTGCAAACTCGTTCGACTATTCATTCACAGTTTGCCCGTTATCGCGCCTCCTAACTTGCCGACAGTGAATCCGCCCCCCCCCCCCAAATCTCCCACCAACTCGCCCACCAATATGTCCATAATCTCACCAACCTTTCGGCATTTGGAGCCTTCTCGCATTACACCTCGACCCAGCCCTCATTACCACCTTTCCCAGCCAAAGCAAACCACCCTGTTCCAGCCACGCGTACTGAAACTCGCTCACGCACCCAGCCACCCACAGAATCCACCGTGAGAGGACAGCGGCCTCGAGGGCGCACCTGTTGTGCCGGCGGTGCCACCGCCCGCCGCCGCGCCCGCCGCCCGCCGCCGCTGCCCCGCCGCCTTCCGCCCCTCCGACCCGCCCCTGGCGGGCTGGATCTTGCCCGCGGGCGGGCGCTCGCCTCGCGCGCGGGCGGGCAGGTCGGCGGATCGGCTGCCGCGCCGGCTTGGGGGCGTCGCAAATAGGATACGCCCGGCGGCGGCGGCGGGGGCGGGCGCGGGCGAGGCGTCACTATTCACCGCTGCGGTGAGGCTCAACGTTTGTCAGGCCACGCGCCGCCATTTCGGACTTTTAAATTTACATTCGGGCGCGCCACTGGCCCCGCCCGGCTTCGCCCGCCCACGGCGCACTTCAGCGCCACGCCCCGCCCGGCTTCCGCTTCACTCGGCGGGGCTTGCACCCGCCCCGCCCGCATTTCCGCCCAGCTAGCCACTGGCGTTTCCATGCTCAAGACCGTTGCTGCACGCCGTTTCCGCCCCGCCCCCTCCTCCCCGCCCTGCTCCGCTTTCACGTCCGCCGGGGCTTTGCCCCATCGCGCACCACCCTGCTCCGCCCTGCTCCGCCCCGCCCCACTCCGCTCCACCCCACCTCGCTCAGCCACCCACTGCGCTCCCAGCTCAGACCTGCTGCACGCTGTCCCGCCTCGCCCCTCTCCGCCCAGCTCCACTCTGTCCCACCCCACCTCAGCCACCTACTGCGCTCCCAGCTCAGATCTGCTGAACGCCGCTCCGCCCGGCCTCGCCGTGCCGTGGCGAGGAACGGCGAATCTCGCGGAGAATTTTCACCGTTTCCGGGAGTCTGTGCGAGGCAGGCGGAACGTGGAGGTGTCAGAAGTGAATAGTTTAGCTTAATAGTGAGAGTAGAGGAAACAGCAACTGGTTTTCTCAGCCGCTTGGCGTTGGAAAAGAAGAATTTCAGCATTCACTTGGTGGCAAATTGTAACCAACCAATTGCTGATATACCACTGTTGTACAGTATAGGGAAATTTCGATGAATTCTCAGTGCCTGCAATTCCTCCATACTTCAAAAATTTCTTTCTTTAACTTCTCCGTAAATCTAAAAGTCATAATTTCTGCTAATGAATGATAAACACGATGAGGATGGAATGAAAAATGTCAAGGATTTTTTGAGATAATCTGCAAAACATTTAGCCAAAGTCAAGACTCCGGAATCAATTAAATAACCTTCATGTTATTTCGTACAATTTCCTGAATACATGTCTCTATTTCTCATTCACAGATAAGTTCATATAATTAAGTCAATTTAACTGAAAGTAGGATCCAAATGATCAATTGGATGCAATAAATTTCCCATTACAATTCTTGGAATTGTTAAGTTTATATAAAAACGATTGAAAGCGTACGCCTCCGCGGGCAGAGTCAAATACTTGCCTGACAGAAAGACAACGCGTCTGAGGCACAGTTGTCAATGTGTTGGCTGTCACATTGCGACCTTCCACAGAGCGAATTCCGATTGCATTTTCCCTGAGGAAGGTCGCAGTATGACACCCGAATCATTGACAACTGTGCATGGGAAATGGTGTCTGACGGAAAAACGTATGTAAAAAGTGAAGAATATTATTTTTTTTTCTGATGCTAAGTCGAAAATTACCCATTAAGATCAAATATTCTATGACCGGATGATGTGCTCTGTATATTGTGACTTTCACAGGTTCTTTCTATATCTATGATATTTTGAGTTTATTTCATTAGTTGATCGACAATCTCCATTCGTTACTGCAACCTGATATTTCCGTGTCGTATCTGCATACGATACGAGTATGCAATCATGTAATGCAAATTAACCTGTTTACACCAATGCTCTTTCAATCCAACATTATCCGAAAACAACAGGAGTGAAATTCGAATATTTATCAACAAATACATGTACAATTTTTACACAAATATAAGTGATTTATTTCCCAATTCTGGGAAAAGGTTGAAAATCACAAAATATGTTTTACACGTTGTGTTATAGTATGGTTGTTGATATTTAAACTACCCATACTAGGCCAGAGCTCGCGTCTTAACTCATTAATTAGAAAGTAGGAACCACGTTAAAGACCAGACAAGTGAAGTATTCTTCGAACTTCTCTTCCTATTGGACTGCTGCTATTAATCATCTCCAACTCCTTATTTTATTGAGGACTAAAAACAAAAGAATAAGTGTTCAACATGTTTTACAATAAAATGTATTTCTAGTTAAATTAGTTCCCTTTTATAAATAATATTGCATTTAGGCATATAAATATTATATTCGCAATAACAATATCTTTCAGGATACCTAAACATGGATTCAGTGATTCAATTTCACTTTACAAATTACTTATCCAGCCACTCATTCCAATGAGTCTAATAGAGGCCAATTAACCAATTTAAGCCATTTCTTTGGCCCCAGAAGGAAACGTTTTTAATCTTCGCAGGTGTTTCACGGGAGCATCGGATCCTAAGCATTAGATCGTGAGCGCCCTGCGCGTCCGACTGCGTATCATGCGTGCGCTGGCGGGGAAGTCCGCATGAAACTTTTATTCGGAATTGTGGGCCCCGCCTTTCCACGGATTACGGTCCCAACTGCCGTGGAAATTGTTCGGTCTGGGGGTCCTCGGAGAGACCCTCCTTCCGCGGGGCGTCTTCCTCTTCGCCCTTCGGCGGTGGTGGTGGTGGTGGTGATGGCGGTGGTGAGGGCGATGGTGGTGGTGTCAATAGTGGTGTCGGCGGTGGCAATGGTGGTGGCGATGGTGGTGGCGATAGTGGTGGTGGTGGCTATGACGATGGTGGTGGTGGCGGTAGTGGTGGCGATGGTGGTGTCCGCGGTGAGGGCGTTGGTGGTGGTAGTAGTGGTGACGGTGATGGTGGTGGTGTAGTGGTGGCAGCGGCAGCGGCGGTGGTGACAGCGGTGATGGCGGCGGCGGTATTTGTAGCGTTGGTGGTAGTGGTGGCGGCGGCGGTATTTGTGGCGATGGTGGTGACGAAGGTGGTTGCGATGGTGGTGATGGTGGTGGCGGCAGCGGCGGCCGCGGAGGAACTTGGCCGCCAGGGGCGCCATTAGCGGCTGCGGCTGAAAATTTGACGAGCGCTGCGCGGAGCCCCCGCGGCGCCAGCGCGTTAAATATTTGCGTTTCCTATTGCGGCTTCGCCTCCGCCGCCGAGGCCCCCTCCGCGCGCTCCAGCTGTTCGCAGCCCTCGCCCTCGCGCTCGCGGCCCCTCGCGTGCTCGCTGGCAACGTCTTGGCTGCCGCCGTCGCCACTGCACGGGGCGGCTGTCTTGCGTCCGTGTCCACGCCGCCCTCATCGCCGGCCACACGTCTCCCCATTCGCCCTGTGCCTTTTGACGTTGCCTTTGCGGGTTGACTTCTGACTATTTCGGTCTTCAGTTCTTCGCACTCGCTAGCTTCGTCTTTTCGACGGCAGACTTCTTCCCTCTTTCTCGTCGCTCTTTTTTCTCAACACTATGTCTACTGAATATTTTCTCGCTACATTCATGTTCCTCATGCTCTTCCTAATTTGTTTCTTCTTATTCTGGCTGTCTTTACTGTTGCCTTCCGAATTTTTTCCATCCTAGTCGGACTTCTTGATTTATTCTACCGCCATTTTACTCACTACCAGTGGTTACCTTCTGGTCTTCATTTTTCCTCTTTGATCTCATTCTATTCCTTTTCACAAATCCGAAAGATTCATCCATCATATTCTGAGCACAAAGATTGATTTCTACGCCGCCATCATTATTACGAAAAAGAACGTGGACCTTTCCAAATGAATAATAGTCGCTTGATCTACAGGAAAAGTCTACTACGCATGGGGAAGAGATGTTACGCAAATGTTGTTTTTTTATAAACCAGTAACGTTAATGAGATGCACAGCCTACAAAGGCAAATCTGTAAAACGCTGTACAGGCGAAATTCTGATTTTCCCCCCAGGGAGCCAGCTTGCAGAGATTTGCTCATTAACGCTTCTCGTGGTTCCGATCCACATCCTACACCGTTTATGAACTTGTTTGCAATTCCTCTCTTCCTTGCATTTTCGTTACCCAAATTCGTTATTTTGCTTCCATTCTTCATCCTGCATCTGTTCGCGATTCTCTTTTTGGTCATTACAACTCGTATCATCTCCATGAATTCCTTTCTGACATAATGGCTGGCCTTTCTGTCAACTCCTTGTCTTCTGTCCTTTCTCATATGGTAGCACCACCCAGTATTTACTCGTATTCCATCCTTCTCCGCTATTGCTATAGTGACACGTGACGCGACCTAATCAATACGTGCTTGCATCTCTTTCATTTCGACTCTGCGTTTGTGCATGTGCTGTTTTCTCAAACTCCCATCATTACCATCTGCAACATTCCAAACATCAACATACAAAAGTGCCTACTCTTTCGTGGCGACATCGATGTCAATGATTTCAAAACATCAATGTTTTCGTAGAAACATCGAGGTTTTAAACATTGATTTCTTAATGACGATGTTTTTTTTTTTCTTTTCCGATGTTTTGTTTCTGAATGAATAATTCACATGATCTGTAAAACGTCAAAAATGAAATAATAATAATTTTTGGTAATATAATAAGTTCATGTGCTGAACCCAAAGAAACGCTTTTTGTACTAACGTCTTCGACCAAATTCCCTCGCCCGAGATGACCTCCATATCTTTGTATTTCCTCTTTCTTCAGGTTCATTTCGCAAATGGAGATGTGGGCAACTAATACGCTGTAGGCATAGTGTCTACCCTTGTTGTCGTACTTCGGTGAATTGATAAACATGAACGTTTAATTATTATGCACACGAATTTAATGTTAGATGTTACTAAACCAGGCGAAGCTGAAAAACATAGATGGTTTTTAGTCGACGTATTTTTAACATTGATATTTTAATTTTGAACATCGATGTTTTGTTATCGATGTCGCATCACTAGTAGCTACCCGCGGAGTCACCCTCTCCCTTAAAGATTTCCTTGCAAGATTTAAGCACCCCCGTTCCTCTGTTCCTAGGGCCAGCTTTTCAAGCATTACGTCCCAATCCACTTCCACCGTTTCCACGCCTCGCGTACTCGTACTTTTATTAATTATCTTCGATTCATTCTCTACTGATAATGTGAGTTTCATCCCATCAAATGCTAACAGCATGCGTCATCACACGCGAAAGCAGCAGCACCTCAGCATCAACCCTCATTAACATCAATGCCCTCACAATTCCATAGGCCTTTTTTGTATCAAGTCCGTCCATTTATCTGTTATTAATATCAGATCCATTATTTCTAACTATAACATTTCAACCGTACCCCAACAGCCAACCACGCTGACATCGTCTTCCCAGATTCCTCTTCCCTTTCACCAGCATACATCCCTTCCAAACTCAACGGCCAGGGCTGCTCCACCGCTTCAACCTCTAACGTTCCAACCGACGTTCCCCCACCCCAGCGTCCAATGCCTGAAGACGTGCGCTGCGCATATCTTGGTCCAAGTATCGGCAAAGTGGGCCTCCGCGCCCGTCTGCCTGCCTGCCTGCGCCCCCTCCCCCTCGGCGCTCCACGCGTTCTCGCGCC